GTAGAGATGCGTGCGACGACCTGGGTCTCTGAGCGGGGAAAGGACAGAATTAATTGGGTGTCGTCAGCGTAGCAGTGGTAAGAAAAACCATGCGGGCTAATGACTGATCCGAGCGAGTTTGTGTACAGGGAGAAGAGGAGGGGACCAAGAACAGAGCCCTGAGGGACCCCCGTAGTTAATTGACAAGGGTCGGACTCGGACCCTCTCCAAGTCACCCTGTAGGTACGGTCTTTCAGGTATGAGGTGAGGAGGGAAAGTGCAGAGCCTGAAACTCCAAGTTGTTGGAGAGTGCGAAGGAGGATCTGATGATTCACCGTGTCGAATGCAGCAGACAGGTCCAACAGGATGATGACAGAGGAGAGGGATGCAGTTTTGGCAGTGTGCAGTTCCTCCGTGACAGCAATGAGAGCAGTTTCTGTGGAGTGACCTGCCTTGAAACCAGACTGGTGCGGATCCAGAAGGTTGTTCTGATTGAGATAACAGGAGAGTTGTTTAAAGACAGTGCGTTCAAGTGTTTTAGACAGGAACGGGAGGAGAGAGACAGGCCTGTAGTTTATAACATCAGACGGGTTGAGAGGGTTTACTCTTGCCTCCTTGAGACTGTTTGGAAAGTGACCAGAAGTTAGAGAAGTGTTGATGAAATGGGTGAGAAACGGTAGAATATCAGGAGCGATAGTCTGAAGGAGGTGTGAAGGGATAGGGTCCAGAGGACAGGTGGTAGGGCGGGCAGAGGTAATGAGGGTAAGAACCTCACTTGGAGAGAGAGGGGAAAAGGAGGTCAGTGTGTTGGTGGAAGGAGGGTCTGGTGACCCAGCGGTGAGTAAAGGTGAGTCAGAAAAAGAAGAGCGAATATCATCAACCTTTTTTTCAAAGTGGGTAACAAAGTCGCTTGATAGAAGTGAGGAGGGGGAAGGGGATTTTGGAGGGTCCAAGAGGGTGGAGAAGATGGAAAATAGTTTCACAACATCTTATTGCAAAAAATACTCAACTTACATTTTTCTATAGAATTCACCAACCTCTTTAATTCGTATCTTTCATTTCAAATTGAGAACCATAAGTCTAGTGCACTATGTTTGTCAACTGGAGTACCGCAGGGCTCTATATTGGGCCCAATCCTGTTTAGTATGTACATAAATGATCTACCTTCTGTGTGTGGACAATGTGATGTATTAATGTATGCTGATGATACAGTTGTTTTTACTCATGGAAAAACCGCAGAAGAGGCTGCTCCCAAGGTCACTGATGTGTTGGAGAATATTACATCCTGGCTTAACAATAATTGTTTGCAACCAAATGTCTCAAAGACAGTGTGTATGTTCTTCTCCAAGGGCCACAGCATTATAACAGAACAAGATGTTTTCTTTTCTCGAAGGAGACTTCAGGGTGTCTCGGAGTACAAGTACTTAGAGTACATATTGACACAAACCTCAATTTCAAAACCCATATCAAAAAGGTCTGCAATAAATAGAATATAATACAATTCCTTTATTGTCATCGCACCAGGTACAACGAAATTTAAAAAAGCAATCCTCGCAGTGCATTTCCACATAAAACGAATACATATATATCTATATAAACATATACACACATAAACATATGCTCACACATCCATACCAACATGCATACATGCCTGCACATCATTTAAATACAGTTTACAATATAAAAAACACAGGGATGATATTTTGCATCTCTGATGTCGATCAGTTAATAAGTTAATACAACTATTAAAAAGTAGTGCAGTTGCAAGTTGTAACTGTTCAGTTCAGCGTTTGACGGTGTTCAGTTCTCGTATGGCTCTAGGGTAGAAACTGTTTTTCAGTGGGTTTGTCCTTGATTGAATTGACCTGTAGCGTCTACCGGAGGGCAGAAGAGCAAACAGGAAGTGTCCAGGGTGTGAAGAGTCTGCAATTATTCTGCCTGCTCTGTTGAGGCAACGTTGGCTGAAGAGTCCTCCAGAGAAGGCAGTGAGCAGCCGATGACCTTCTGGGCTGTGTTGATGACCCTCTGAAGGGCTTTCCTGTCCTCTTCTGAGCAGCTGGCACACCACGTGGTTAGGCAATATGCCAGCACACTCTCTATGGAGCAGCGGTAGAAAGACACCATGGCTTCTCCTCCAGGTTGTTTTTCCTGAGGATCCTCAGGAGGTGGAGTCGCTGCTGGGCCTTTTCACAGATGTTGTGGTGTTGATAGACCAGGATAGATCTTCAGCAATGTGTGTGCCGAGGAACCTGAAGGCGGGAACCCTTTCCACACAGTTGCCGTTGATGTACAGTGGATCTGGTGTTGTGCTGTTTTTCCTGAAGTCTATAATGAGTTATTTTGTTTTGATGGAGTTCATAACAAACACCACACTGCCAGTCTCTGGATTTCATCCCTGTAGGCTGACTCATCTCCTCTTGGGATCAGTCCAACCACGGTTGTGTCGTCCGCGAACTTGACGATGGTGTTGGTGGGGTGAGTGGGGGCACAGTCATAGGTGTACAGGGAGTAGAGCATGGGGCTCAGCACACAGCCTTGTGGTGAACCGGTGCTGAGTGTGAGGGTGGAGGAAAGGTGAGGGCCTATTCTCACTGTCTGGGGCGATTAGTTAGGAAGTCCTTAATCCATTGGCAGATGTTTGGGGAAAATCCTAGGTCAGATAGCTTGGAGACCAATCTTCCCGGGATGACTGTATTAAAGGCAGAACTGTAATCAACAAAGAGCATCCTCACATAGCTCCCCTGGTGTTCAAGGTGGGACAGTGCACTGTGAAGGACAGTGCACTGTGAAGGACGGTGGCGATGGCATCTTCTGTAGACCTATTTGCTCTATACGCAAACTGATTTGGGTCGAAGGTGGGTGGGAGAATGGTTTTGATGTGCTGCAGGACCAGCCTCTCGAAACACATGATGAGCGGTGTGAGTGCTACCGGACGGTAGTCGTTGAGGCTGGAGATAATGGTTTTTTTCGGCAGAGGGATGATTGTGGCAGATTTCAGGCACGAAGGGATGATGGATTTGGAGAGAGACAGGTTGAAGATCTTTGGTCTGCACACTCCTTCAACACCCTTCCCGTCACTTCATCAGGGCCTGCAGCTTTCCTCGGGCTCACCGCTCTGAGCACACGCCTCACATCATGCTCCTGCACAGTGAGGGTGTGACTGTTGGATGCTGGTGAGGTTGTTGTGTCCGTCTCTACTGCGTTGACCTCAAAGCAAAGAAACAATGAAGTTCCTCTGCCAGTGAGGCGTCCCCGTCAACCGTTGTGCTGTTATTGTTCTTGTAGTTGGTGATGTGCTGTATACCTTGCCACACCCGCCGTGGATCGTTGCTGGTGAAGTGGTCCTCAATCTTCCTCTTGTAGGCTGCTCTCTTCAGGTTGGCTCTAGCTGCACTGTATTGAGCACTATCACCAGACCTGAAGGCGATGTTTCGGCCCTTGAGGAGAGCTCTGACCTCCTTCGTCATCCAGGGCTTCTGGTTGGGGTATATCTGAATACGTTTTTCAACAGTCACATTATTCACACAGTTCTGTATATAGCAGAGTATAGTTGATGCGTACTCCTCCAAGTCCTGAACCTCAAAAGTATCCCAGTTAGTCCTTTCGAAGCAATCCTGTAGCTGCGAGGAAGCTCCTTCAGGCCATGTTTTAACAGTCTTTGTGGTGGGTTGAGTTTTTCTCCTGACAGGGGTGTATGCTGGGGTTAAAAGGATGGACTGGTGATCTGACTGCCCTAGATGTGGTACAGACTTAAATCCCTTCTTAATGTTTGAATAGGCCTTATCCAGTGTGTTTTTACCCCTGGTAGCACATTTTATGTGTTGTACAAACTTTGGGAGAACTGTCTTTAAGTCTGCATGGTTGAAATCACCAGCTATGATATGGGCGGCTTCGGGATATGTGCTTTGTTGTGAATTGATAGCACTGTGCAGGTAGCCTAGCGCTATTTTAGCATTAGCATCTGGTGGTATGTAGACAGCTGTTACTATGACAACGGTAAACTCACGAGGGAGGTAAAAAGGCCTGCATTTCACCGTCAAGTACTCCAGGTCTGAAGAGCAATGACTGTCCATGATTATGGCGTCCTTGCACCAGTTGTTATGTACATAAATGCATAACCCCCCTCCCCTGCTTTTACCAGAGTCGATGTTTCTGTCCCAGCGGTATGCTCTTCGCCCCGTAAGTAAAGTTCAATCTGTCAAATACAGATACATTAGAAACTTCCTATCATCTGCAGCAGCTAAGCTATACCTTCACTCAATGGTCCTCTCCCACATCTACTACTGTCTGATCAGCTGGTCTAATGCTCACTCTACAGCTCTAAAACCACTGGAATCACTGTATAAACAAGCACTCAAAACACGAGACAAAAAGCCATTCCGGTATCATCATTGTCACATTGTTAAAAAGTATAATCTGTTCAGCTGGGAAAATCTCATAGTTTACAAAAACATCTGCTTAGTTTATAAGATCACTCGTGGGTTGGCTCCTCCTCCTCTGGCTGGCTGCATCAGCCTAAAGCCCACCTCAACCAGGGCTACTAGAGGTGCGGCTAGGGGAGACGGCACCATCCCATTTAGGAACAGTGCATTCAGCCAGGCTGTCTTTCATTCCACGCATCCCATCAATGGAATTCAATACCACAACAATAAGAGAGTCCTCATCCTACTACACATTCAAGCACAGTGTAACAAAGTGGCTCATTAATAATCAACAGTGTCAGCACTGGTGTGTGTGTGTGTGTGTGTGTGTGTGTGTGTGTGTGTGTGTGTGTGTGTGTGTGTGTGTGTGTGTGTGTGTGTGTGTGTGTGTGTGTGTGTGTGTGTGTGTGTGTGTGTGTGTGTGTGTGTGTGTGTGTGTGTGTGTGTGTGTGTGTGTGTGTGTGTGTGTGTGTGTGTGTGTGTGTGTGTGTGTGTGTGTGTGTGTGTGTGTGTGTGTGTGTGTGTGTGTGTGTGTGTGTGTGTGTGTGTGTGTGTGTGTGTGTGTGTGTGTGTGTGTGTGTATTGTAAATGTTTTATTTATGTATTATCATGACTTGCTTTTATCTGTATTCAGTGATGTCATCTATTGTAAATGTGTACAATGGTATAACAATGTTGTGGTATTTTTATTATTGCTTTTAGGATGTCTATCACCATCTGGCAAAGGGTAAATTCGAGTACTTTTACATGTTTTTAATATGTTGATTAATGTACACTGTCCCTTGTTTTAAATACATCAATTCAATTCAACACAATAATACAGATAGCAGACAATATTAAAACAATATTAAAGTATATTATATTAAAAGTAATACAAAAGAAAAATAGTTTAAAAGAAGTGAGAAAAAAAAGTGGAATAGTGAAATAAGAGTCTATATGCAAGCTATTTGAATGATATATTAGATAATAGATACATCATTACTAAGTAGCAGATGAATGTTATGGATGTTGTTTCAACAGTTCAGGTGTTTAACAGTCTTATCGCCTGTGGGATGAAGCTGTCTCTGTGTCTGGTGGTTTTTAGTCCGGATGCTGCGGTACCGCCTGCCAGACGGCAGCAGACTGAGCAGTTTGTGGCTGGGGTGATGGGGGTCTTTTATAATCCTGAGGGCTTTCTTCCTGAGCCGCTGGGAGTAAAGGTCCTCTGTGTTCACCAGGTCCCCCCTCAGGACTCCCCTCTTTAATCAAACTCCTGAAGTCCTTCCTGTCCTCAGGTATCCTCAAGGACTACCTCCGGGAGCTGCCCTCCCCCCTCATCACCTCCTCCCTGTACCAGGTGGTGAGGGAGGCCTTGACCCTGCAGCCCCCGCCGGCCCCCCCCCACAGCCCCGGACCCCGAGCAGAACCGGAGAACCGTGGAGCTGCTGACCTGTCTGCCCCCGCCTGAGAGGGTGAGACCTGAAACACACCTGAAACACACCTGAAACACACCTGTAACACACCTGAAACACACCTGAAATATACCTGAAACACACCTGTAACACACCTGTAACACACCTGTAACACACCTGAAAACACCTGAAACACACCTGTAACACACCTGAAACACACCTGTAACACACCTGAAACACACCTGTAACACACCTGAAACACACCTGTAACACACCTGAAACACACCTGTAAACACACCTGTAACACACCTGTAACACACCTGTAACACACCTGTAACACACCTGTAAACACACCTGAAACACACCTGAAACACACCTCAAACACACCTGAAACACACCTGTAACACACCTCAAAACACCTGAAACACACCTGAAACACACCTGAAACACACCTGTTACACTGAAACACACCTGTAACACACCTGAAACACACCTGAAACACACCTGTAACACACATGTAACACACCTGAAACACACCTGTAACACACCTGAAACACACCTGTAACACACCTGTAACACACCTGAAACACACCTGAACACACCTGAAACACACCTGAAACACACCTGTAACACACCTCAACCACACCTCAACCACACCTCAACCACACCTCAAACACACCTCAACCACACCTGTAACACACCTGAAAAACACCTGAAACACACCTGTAACACACCTGTAACACACCTGTAACACACCTGAACACACCTGTAACACACCTGAAACACACCTGTAACACAACACACCTGTAACACACCTGTAACACACCTGAAACACACCTGAAACACACCTGAAACACACCTGTAACACACCTGAAACACACCTGAAACACACCTCAAACACACCTGTAACACACCTGTAACACACCTGAAACACACCTGTAACACACCTGTAACACACCTGAAACACACCTGTAACACACCTGTAACACACCTGTAACACACCTGTAACACACCTGAAACACACCTGAAACCAGTGGTTGCGTTAGACTTTTTCGTTGTCCGTCATTTTGACGGACAGGATCGTAACATTTCCGTCATAATCCATTATTACCCATCATTTTATTTTTCATGTGTTAATAATGAGATGAGACATATTTCATATGTATGTTTGGGTACTGAGCAGCAAATGTTCATTCATCCATGTTTTAATGATTCATACAGAACTTTTAAGGGCATGGAGAAACAAAAAGATGAACAGAGACACCGATCGTGTGGTCACTTTTCATGTCAACACGAACATGAATGATTTATTTGTTCCTGCACTGACAGACAGCAGAGGGGGGCAGAGGCCGCTAAAAACACACGACCATTGTGCCTACACAGTTAAATATGAACAATGCCGTCGTTTTAAATGAGACAATTACAATCAGAATATGAACAAAAAATGTACAAGAACAACTCAATTGACCTGCTGTAGCCTGAACGCTGATTTATGCATCGTCGTGCACCCTCGGACAAATCCGTTACACATCTTAACTTTTCTACAGATGTCGCAGAACATTTTGCCATCTCCCCTCCTCAGCCACTTAAACTCTTGCTCCCACTGAACCCGGTACTCCCGCTTGAACTCCTTGCCACTTGCTTGCCCCTCTGCCGCTGGCTGAACGCTGTCAGTTTGAGTCTTACTGGCTTGTCCTTCATCCTCCACCGCATCAACCCCTCTTTTCACCTCGTTTATTCACACCATCACAATTACTGGGCTTATTAAAAAAGCTTCGGACGATCAGCTGCCGTGACATTTTGCGATTGCTAAAGCCGGTTAAACAACGAGGTAATCAACGAGGTCAAAAACAAGACTAGACAATAGCTACTTAATATGCACACACTCACCACCAACTGAACAGGGGTGTGAATGACTAACAGTTACAGACTACAGTAGAGTAGATCGCCCTCAGTCGACCTGGCCACTAAGGATATCATATAATGTGGGCTGCTGGTGGACATGTTGGCGCTGTTCCGAGTTGTGTTCTAATCTGTCAAAATGACGGACTGCTTTCAGATGTGTCCGTCATTGTTAGAAAAAAATCCGTCATTGACGGAAAATATTCGGTTAACGCGACCTCTGCCTGTAACACACCTGTAACACACAGTATCTGGTGTGAGGGGTAGGGTTAGGGTTAGGGTAATGTTGTGAATCGAGTGGCCTGTGTTCGTCGTCCATAACATAACATACGCCCATACCATAACCCCACCACCACCATGAGGCACTCGATTCACAACATTACCCTAACCCTAACCCTACCCCTACCCCTACCCCTACCACTCACACCAGATACTGACTGGTTTTCGGACCCCCCCAATAAAGAAAAACTGCACGTTTCAGAGTGGCCTTTTATTGTGGCCAGCCTAAGGCACACCTGTGCAATAATCATGCTGTCTAATCAGCATCTTGATATGCCACACCTGTGAGGTGGGATGGATTATCTCGGCAAAGGAGAAGTGCTCACTATCACAGATTCTTTCAGATTTGTGAACAATATTTGAGAGAAATGGTTATTTTGTGTTTATAGAAAATGTTTTAGATCTTTGAGTTCATCTCATGAGAAATGGGAGCAAAAACAAAAGTGTTGCAATTATATTTTTGTTCAGTGTATATCTATATTCCAGATTCAAGTCTTTATCATCATGTGCTCAGCCGCTAGTGTTGAAATGTCTACACGTACATGTATTGATAATCTATATGTTTGATAGTCTAATATACCACCTATCTTACACCTGCATTTGAACCCCCTGTCTCTCAGGCCACCCTGTCCCTGCTGCTGGACCACCTGAGCCTGGTGGCCTCCCTCAGCCCCTGGAACAGGATGACCCACCAGAACCTAGCGGTCTGCTTCGGCCCGGTTCTGCTCACCCCCACCCAGGAGGCCTGGAGGGGAGGGGGAGGGGAGGGGGGGGAGGCAGGGGGGGGGGGAAGGCGTTGGGGGAGGAGAGTGCGGTGGACTTCAAAAGACACATCGAGGCTCTGCATTACCTGCTGCAGCTGTGGCCAGGTGAGTCTCTCTAGGGTTCTGGTGCTGGTTCCTCTCAGCTAGTGCTGGTTTCAGACTCAGCTGGTCCTGGTTCAGACTCTGCTGGTCCTGGTTCAGACTCTGCTGGTACTGGTTCAGACTCAGCTCCTGGTTCAGACTCAGCTGGTCCTGGTTCAGACTCTGCTGGTCCTGGTTCAGACTCAGCTGGTCCTGGTTCAGACTCTGCTGGTCCTGGTTCAGACTCTGCTCCTGGTTCAGACTCATTGTCAGCAGCTTAGAAACTGAAGACTGAGTGAGACGGAAGAAGACACGATATTGGTTTATCTTTATTAGCTTTACTGTTATAAACTGGTGTAAACTGGGAAGATCTCTGAGGGTCTGGTTTTCCTGGGATACTCCTTTTAGACTCAGCTAAATGTATTCTAATGTAACCTCCCCCCGTCTCCCCCTCAGTGCCGACTAATCGAGTGCCATCAGATGACCACAGCGACGCCTCCCCCCCTCCCGCCCCCAGCCTGACCCATAAACCCCTGCGGAAGAAGCAGCCTCGGCTTCCTGCGCTGCGATTGGCTCAGAGCCTCGAGCAGGAAGTGGTGTCACGCCGCGGTCGAGACGCCCGGTTGGAGAGTCCGCCGCCGATCAACCGGTACGCCGGGGACTGGAGTGTCTGTGGGCGGGACTTCCTGTCCGGACAGGAAGCCGACTATGACGAGGTGGCAGGAAGCGACAGCGACGGAGGTAACTGTTGACATCACTTCCTGTTAAGACATCAGTGTAGCATAGACTGGTACCATCAACACCAGTCCAGACCAGACCAGTTCAGACCAGTTCAGTCCAGTTCAGACCAGACCAGACCAGACTCGGATGTGGTGAGGAAGGTGAGGGAGGAAAGTGAGGGAGGAAGGTGAGGAAGGTGAGGGAGGAAGGTGAGGAAGGTGAGGGAGGAAGGTGAGGAAGGTGAGGGAGGGGTCATGAGGCCCAGGATGGGGACCTGAGGGGAGCTTCAGTAGGTCCTGGTGGGAGCAGGTAGTCTGGGCCGATGAGTCCCAGTTCAGAAAGAGCCAGTGTGTGACTGAGACTCTTCTGTTCCAGGCAGCAGTGATGAAGAGGAGCAGAAGAAGAGGTCCAGCAGTGATGAAGAGGAGCAGAAGAAGAGGTCCTGGTCTTCATCAGCAGCAGGACCAGGTCTTTATGTCGAAGAGTTCCTGGACTTTGACGCTCCATTCAACTGTCGACTCAGTTTGAAGGACTTCGACACTCTGATCCACGACCTGGAGCGAGAACTGATCCACATCTGCCTGTAGTTCCTGATGTTCCTGATGGTTCTGATGGTTCTGATTGTTCCTGATGGTTCTGATTGTTCCTGGGGGTTCTAAGGTTCCTGATGGTCCTGATGGTTCTGATGGTTCCTGGTGGTTCCAAGGTTCCTGATGGTTCTGATGGTTCAAAGGTTTCTGATGTTCCTGGTGGTTTCTGGTGGATCCTGGTGGTTCTAAGGTTATTGATGTTCCTATGCCGTCAAAGCAGATTATTTATTTCTTGATCCAAAGGTAAACGTAGCTCTAAACTGAAGGAGACGTGAGGGAACTAATGTCGGTTCCCTCATCAGAACAGTTTTATTTTTATTATTGCTATTATTATTGTTGGTGCAGTGTAGACCCTCTGAAAATGTGAACGGGTTCTGGTGGTTCTGGTGGTTCTGGGTATCAGGGTAGCATCCTGTCGGGCTGTTGAAGCCATAATCTCTATTTTACTTCTTACAACTTTGAAGGGAACGTTTTGCAGAACCCATTGCGCTGCTGCTTCTCCTTCCAGGTTCTCCTTCCAGGTTCTCCTAGTCCTTCCAGGTTCTCCTTCCAGGTTCTCCTAGTCCTTCGAGGTTCTCCTAGTCCTTCAGGTTCCTGTTAGTCCTGCAGGTCCTAAAGGGTTCCTGTAGGGTTCAGGTTCCTGTTGATTCCAGCAGAGCGATGTGTTCTGCAGAGGTTCTTCAGTATTTCGCGGTACAGAGTGATGAAGGAATCCGTACTGAGGGTTACAGACAGAAGCTGTTTACCGTTTGTTTCTCATGTTTGTTGACAGTATTGTTTTGTTGACAGTATTATTGTTTTGTTGACAGTATTATTGTTTTGTTGACAGTATTATTGCTTTGTTGACAGTATTATTGCTTTGTTGACAGTATTATTGCTTTGTTGACAGTATTGTTGTTTTGCACAGATATTAAGCACTTCTGTTGTTATTGACGACGATGTTTCTATGCAGATGAACCAAAGTGTTGAAGCACATTTCCTGTCTGTATGTTTTATAACCCGACCAAATATTAAACACTTATTATTATTATTGTTGTTGTTTGTTTGTTTAGAAGTCTAGTAGAAGTGAACAAATCTTAATTTAATTTTCAGTTTCAGTTTCCTGAAAACAGAGGAGAGTTTACTATTTAAAATATATTTTTGAGTCATCTTTGTGATTTGTAAAAACCGCCCTGAGGGGAGAACGTGGGGTCGTCCACGGCAACGTGACGTCGTCCACGGCAACGTGACGTCGTCCACGGCAACGTGACACCGCTCAGGAACCGGAGAGAAAGAGACCATCAGCAGAAAGGAGAGAACATGAACCATACTTCTAAATGTTCCCTCTTGAACATTTCTAGACTTCATTTACAGAAATGGATAAAAGCCGGAGACCTGAGACCTGAGACCTGGCCCGCCCCTCCCTACATGCAGATCACGCAGACTGTTGGCCAGGGGGGACCCTGGGGGGGACCCTGGGGGAGATCCTGGGGGAGACCCTGGACTACCAACCATGAAATAAAGACAGAGCAACACAATAATACAGAAAAACTGAAAAATATCCATCCATCCATCTTCTCCCGCTTATCCGTGGTCGGGTCGCAGGGGTAGCAGTTCCAGCAGAGAGCCCCAAACTTTATTTTCCCTGGCGACATCAACCAGCTCTGACTGGGGGATCCCAAGGCGCTCCCAGGCCAGCGAAGAGATATAATCCCTCCACCTGGTACTAGGTCTACCCCTTGGTCTCTTCCCAGCTGGACGTGCCTGGAACACCTCCCTAGGGAGGCGCCCAGGTGGCATCCTAACTAGGTGCCCGAACCACCTCAACTGGCTCCTTTCGACGCGAAGGAGGAGCGGTTCAACTCCGAGTCCCTCCCTGATGACCGAACTTCTCACCTTATCCCTAAGGGAGACACCAGCCACCCTGCGGAGAAAACCCATCTCGGCCGCTTGTATCCGCGATCTCGTTCTTTCGGTCATGATCCATCCTTCATGACCATAGGTGAGGGTAGGAACGAAAATGGCCCGGTAGAGAGAGAGCTTTGCCTTCTGGCTCAGCTCCCTTTTCGTCACAACGGTGCGGTAAAGCGACTGCAGTACCGCTCCCGCTGCTCCGATTCTCCGGCCCATCTCACGCTCCATTGTTCCCTCACTCGAGAACAAGACCCCGAGATACTTGAACTCCTTCACTTGGGGTAAGGACTCATTCCCTACTTGAAGTGGACAGTCCATCGATTTCCTGCTGAGAACCATGGCCTCAGATTTGGAGGTGCTGATCCTCATCCCAGCCGCTTCACACTCGGTTGCGAACCGATCCAGTGAGTGCTGAAGGTCGCAGACCGATGAAGCCATTAGAACCACATCATCTGCGAAAAGCAGTGGTGCAATCCTTAGTCCACCGAACTGCAGACCCCCTCCCCCATGACTACGCCTCGAAATCCGATCCATGTATATTACAAACAGGATTGGTGACAAAGCGCAGCTCTGGCGGAGGCCAACCCTCACCGGAAATGGGTCCGACTTACTGCCGAGGACCCGGACACAGCTCTCGCTTTGGGAGTACAGAGATTGGATGGCCCTGAGTAACCCTAACCCTAACCCCCCTCACCCCATACTCCCGCAGCACCTCCCACAGTAACTCCCTGGGAACTCGGTCATACGCCTTCTCCAAGTCTACAAAACACATGTAGACCGGATAAGCATACTCCCAGGCCCCCTCCAGGATCCTTGCGAGAGTAAAAAGCTGATCCGTCATTCCACGACCAGGACGGAATCCGCATTGTTCCTCCTCAATCTGAGGTTCGACAATCGGCCTGACCCTCCTTTCGAGTACCTTAGAGTAAACTTTCCCGGGGAGGCTGAGTAGTGTGATGCCTCTGTAATTGGCACACACCCTCTGATCCCCCTTTTTAAATAGGGGAACCACCACCCCGGTCTGCCACTCCTTTGGTACTGTTTCCGACTTCCACGCAACTTTGATGAGACGTGTCAACCATGACAGTCCCTCAACACCCAGAGCCTTCAGCATTTCCGGGCGGATCTCATCCACCCCCGGGGCTTTGCCACTGTGGAGTTGTTTGACGAACTCAGTGACCTCCCCCCGGGAGATTGGTGTTGATCCCCCGTCATACTCCAGCTCTGCCTCTAACATAGAGGGCGGAGTTGTCGGGTTCAGGAGTTCCTCAAAGTGTTCCTCCCAACGCCCTAACACTCCATCAGTTGAGGTCAACAACGTCCCATCCTTACTGTACATAGCTTGGATGGTTCCCTGCTTCCCCCTCCTGAGGTGTCGGACAGTTTTCCAGAACAACTTTGGTGCCGCCCGAAAGTCCTTCTCCATGTCTTCTCCGAACTTCTCCCACACCCGCTGCTTTGCCTCGGCCACGGATGAGGCTGCTGCCCTTCGGGCCTGTCGGTACCTTGCAACTGCCTCGGGAGTCCCCCGGGATAACAAATCCCTGAAGGCCTCCTTCTTCAGTCGGACGGCTTCCCTGACCACCGGTGTCCACCAGGAGGTTCGAGGGTTACCGCCCCTTGAGGCACCTAGGACCTTGAGACCACAGCTCCCCGCCGCGGCTTCGGCAATAGAGGCTTTGAACACCGACCACTCTGGTTCAATGTCCCCAACCTCCACAGGAATGCCCGAAAAGCTCCGCCGGAGGTGTGAGTTGAAGGCCTCCTGAACTTGGGCCTCCTCCAGACGTTCCCAGTTCACCCGAACTACACGTTTGGGCTTACCAGGTCTATCCAGAGGCTTCCCCCGCCACTCGACCCAACTCACCACCAGATGGTGATCAGTTATAGTGCAAGTAAATATTAAAAAGTAAATAAAAGAAGAAAAATAGTTTTAAAAAAGTGAAATAGTGAAATACGAGTCTATATACAAGCTATTGGAATTATATATTAGAATGTAACGGAGGTGATCTTTGGGGCTAGAGATCTCGGCCTCCATTACGAATTGTGTAGCTTTGTTGGTGGCGAACTGTATGTAGTGTGTGCATCTGTGTGTGATACGATACGATATACTTTATTGTCCCCGTAAGGACATTTGTTCTGGACTCCGTCCTGCAGTTCCGCATACATGTACATATACAAACATAGTGGACATTAAGAGACATACACATATCATCAGTCATACACCGTTTGAACAAACACAATACACAGACACACATACTGACAATGGCGACCTATAGCACTACCCCTCATGGCCAACATTTAAAAAGTACATTTGACTACATTTAATTTCATGTGAATGTTAAGAAGCTTAATGGACATAGGTAGGAATGAGTGCTTATAGCGGTTCAGCCTGCTCTTGGGAACCCTGAATCTTCTACCAGAAGGTAGGAGCTGGAATTCTGGGTGGAGTATGTGGGTGGGATCAGACACCATTGTGTTTGCCTGTCTGATAATGGACTGCTCGTCAGGGTGGGAATTTCACGACGGCCACGACGGCCATGGCCGTCGTTGCCCCGCACTTTGGCCGTGATGCCCAGTGAAAAAAAATGCAATTCACGGCCAAAGTGGCCTTGGTGCCCCTGTCAAAAGTTCCAGTGTAAACAACGCTAGTAAAGTCATATTAGTGCGCGCAGTAGGATAGTCCCGGGCGATGCCTGTGCCCTGTGGATCAGAGCGATTGCTCTGCTGTGATTGTTCCGTCAGAAATGCCTGTAGGGGCCCGACAGCCTCCTCCTCAGCCGCGGGAGCAAGACAAGCACAGGTAAGCAAGCGGACCAAGCTGTTTTGATATGATTTAACTGAAGTATGTGGTAGTATTTGAAAGGACTTAACATTTACGTGTTTATAGAAAGTACTATTGATAGGTAATTACCATTGTATTAGCCTATTTAAAGTTGACTCGTTACATTTTGTCATGAAAACTAGCGATAGCTAGCTAGTTTGGATAGCGCTAACGTCTTCCCTTCAAGGGAAGACAGATAGCTGTCACCTTTGAATCTAGTATTTTTCTTGCTAAGCGGTTTTGATATAATACATGACTGACTTATGTGGTTTATGGCTGAACTTAACGTATACGTTAAAGAAACACTATTGCTATTCAGCCATTTGTAAAACGACTGGTGTTGACGTTAGTGCTACACTTTTCAGTCATGTTGATTGACCAGCGTAATTTAACCAAACGGCCTTTGTGCCCTGTCATGTGGCCTTTGTGCCCTTGAAAAAAATGTGAACGGGAAGGCCAAATGGCCTTGCCCCTAAAATGACGAAATTCCAAGCCTGCTGCTCGTATATGTTTTGGAGAGATGGGTGTTTTTTAACCCCCATACTTTTCATAGCAGTCTGTACCAGGCGAGCGATCTGTGACTTTGACTGCACTGTCAAGTTACCATACCAGGCAGTAATACCTCATGATGCTCTCCAACACTGCATGATAGAACAGTAACATGAACTTCTGGTCGACTCCGAAAGCCCGGAGTCGACGCAGAAAGTACAATCGCTGTTGAAGTCTAGAGCACAGACCTTGAACATGCGCCTTCCAGCTGAGTGTATTATCTAGATGGACACCAAGGTACTTATAGGAGCTGAGTTATGGGTTCATTGTGGATAACCACCGGCCTAAGGTCACCCACTGCCTTTGGGTCCCACACCATCTCCTCAGTCTTCTTCACATTCAGCACTAGATGGTTAAAATCACACCACTGCACAAATCTCTCTATTTCAGAGTGATAAGCCGATGAACTGCTGCCTTTGTGCATTAAGCCAAGGATGGCTGTATCATCTGAGAATTTGATGATATAATTCTCCGGGTGGATTCTCGTACAGTCGTTTGTGTACAGTGTGAAGAGGACCGGGGAGCTCACACCTGGGGGGCTCCTGTACTGATGGTCGTGGGCTCTGAGAGGGCATTGTTGACCCTGACATGCTGAGTGCGATTGGTTAAAAACGAGAAATACCATTTCAAGATAAAAGGATTTATACTGATCTTTATCCGTTGTTGAAGCAAGATGTGAGGCTGCAGTGTGTTAAAAGCCGAGCTGAAATCCACAAACAGTAGGCGTACATATGCCTTAGGGTCTTCCAGGTGTGACCAGGTGTGTGATGCTATTTAGAGCATCGTCTGTGCCATGCCCTTGCTTGTAGGCAATCTGAAAAGGGTCTAAATGTACATCAACCTCTTTCTTTAGCAGCGGCACCATGATCCTCTCAAAACATGTCAGGACAATGGATGTCAATGCAACAGGCCTACAATCATTGTTTACCTTTGGACAAGGTTTTTTGGGGACAGGTTTTATTATTGATTTTTTCCAGAGGGTGGGGATGGTGTGAAGATCAACAGATGTTTGAAATATGGGACACCATGCTGATGTCAGTTCTTCTGCAAATGTCTTGAGAAGGAATGCAGAGATGCCATCTGGCCCTGTGGCCTTCTTAGTACAGGTGTGTTTAAAAAGTGATGGGACCTTTAAAGGGTCAATCAGCGTCCTGTTCAGTAGCAGAGATTGTCTCTAAGATGTCTGTACATTCAGAGGAGAAGTCCTGGGTTTCAAATCTCATGAAAAAGTCATTCAGCTCATTTGCTTTTTGCAGGTCATCAGAGAGTGTGTGTTTTAGGTTGTCTGTCTCTGTTTGCTGGTTTTATGTTGAAAAGTGTTCCCCTTCCCGTTATGTCTGTTGCTGTTGATTGTGTGCACCTGGTGCCCTGTGTTGCCCCCCCACCTGGGCCTGTGGGATGAAGCTGTCTCTGAGTCTGGTGGTTTTAGTCCTCAAACCCAGCTTTCTTTGCACTTTACTATCATTTCTCAAAAGGGAAGAACATGAATTGATCTGAGAGTCGTCCTGTGCATCTGGCTCACGTGACTCTGGTTCCAGCCAGGTTCTGCAGAACCCAGAGAGAACCCAGAGAGAAGCTGTGGTCCTGTTGCAGAAAGGGGGAGCCCTCAGTGCGGTCTGACAGGACTCAGGTGAACCTGAAACACAAACCTCTTTTCTAAATAAATACACTCGATTCAATCTGAGTTTTACTTTCATATGTAATGTTAGTTTGCGAAGTAGAAACAGGTCATGTTTTATGTGTTTCATTTGATCACAGTTTTGAAAGTTTTAAATATAACTAGTGATTCAAATAAAAAGTGCCTGCCAGTCAAGTCTCAGGGCTTTTTATCCCAGTGCTCCTCATCCTTACGTCACGGCTGGACCGCTAGCTTCTCTCTGATTGGCCAAGGGGTGAGCAGCTGACGCAGCTGAGCGCTGATTTGCTGCTGTCCTCTGTGGGGGCGGGGCTTGTGGAGCAACGGCTTCTCTGCTTAAAATGGCTGCAGAATGTGACGGAAATAAAACAAAGTGAACAAAAAAAGACGAAGAAGAAGCGGGTTCTGCAGGTTCTAGGTTCCGCACCGGGAGGCTTCTGCACCGGGAAGTCCTGCAGAGTTTCTCTGGGTTCTGCAGGTTCTGCAGAAACAAAGTTTAGATGAACATCAGGTAACTGCGCCACTGCTGCTGTATTTACCCTCTTTATTGATTTATGAGATGTTGTTATAATCTGATGCAGTCTGATGGTTAGGGTCAGCAGCAGCACTTTAGCCTATGCTAACCCTAACCTATGCAGTCTGAGCATCAGATTATAAATACATCCTACCCCCAACTCTGAGCAGCAGCACGACTGTATTCATCATTATAATGTCCATTCTTATTTTCTTCCTGCTTTAAGGTCTCAGATCTTTATAAAGGGCTCAACCGGTTATAAATGTCTGTCTAAAGTATTTCATGCTGTATTTATTTGTGTTGTTGTTTGAACAACAACAACAACAACAGTTTATCAGGTGCTTTCCTAAACTGCCCAATACATAGCTATAATTGTATGAGAAAGTAAATAAATATAATCTTTATTTAGGAATATCATCTGTGGTTATAACGCGGAGTAAAGAGGAGAATACTGCAGTACTATATATATATATATATATATATTAGGGATGCACGATAATTATCGGCCCGATATTAGGAATTATGACGTCATCCCGATAAACCCGATACCAGTATTAATAGCCCCAATAATATACAATATATTTTTTGGGTAAAACATAAATAAAATACTGCGGTGTGGGTGGATTGGGATGAGGGGCGCTTGTTTTTATTCGGCTCCTCCCGTTTTGCCAGTACTGTGGTATTAGTGGTTTAGGAAGAGGGGAGTTTTTCACAAATCCAGCGCTCCCTAACTCGTGAAGCCAGGACAGTAAACAAACATGTCGTCGGTGGTATGGGCGTTGGAGCTATGTGCAACTCAAGGCATATGCTCGAACCGGAGCTGCCTGGACGCTGCAATCATGTTGCGCACTATCCCTGCTGACTGTCTGGCTTCCTGCATGAAGTCAAGTGCTCGGCGCAGTTGTGGCGAAATGTCGCTCCTCTGTTTTCATTTAAACAGCTCCTTATATCCGTTAGCGCAGCTAGCTAGCACCAGATGCTAACAACAACAATGCACGTAAGGTCTCTCTCTCGCTCGCTCGAGCCACACATACACACCCTCCCGGTCCTCCCGATGGCCAGTCGGTGCCTGCCGGTGAGCGTGGAAGTGTGGTCTGCCACAAGCAGGCAGCAGGAGCGGGGCTGTCAGCATCAGCTTGTAGATGGTATTTTAAACTCGATGCGCTCTGAAACTACGGGGCGGCCGAGGAAAAAAAATACACATGCGTTAATCGCATTAAAATAATTAGTGGCGTACATTTTTTTTATTATCGGTATCGGTATCGGTCTTGAGAAGCAGGAAGTTATCGGTATCGGTTTCAAAAAAACCAATATCGTGCATCCCTAATATATATATATATATATATATATATATATATATATATATATTAGGGATGCCAGAAACTGACCATGAACAAATTCGAAAATCTAAAAGGTTAAATAAGCTGTACAACTAAAAAGAATGTCTTGAAAATATTAAAATAAATAATAAGAAAGTGTTTCAATCACAATCAATAAAAGGCAATACAGAACTGTATAACATCTCCTGATGTCAACATATAAAATAAATACAATTCTAAATATAAAATAAAATCTGTACCTTTAGGAGCAATGTCTAACATGTGCAATTAACTTGTGAGTGTGTGAGGCCATTATGCCTAAATAAAGGTACTCAAGCTTTACTCTATTTTCAAGTTGTTCTTCAGAAAGATGAGTTAGTCTACGTTGTCAGCAGTGAGGGCAGATCTGTTGGCGGTAACTGTCACCTGCCGTCGAGAAAACCCTCTCGCTGGGACTGAGACTGACTCGGATGTGATTGAGCATGTTTGACGTGTTTCCACTAGCATACCGCACTGCTGTCGAACAACGCCGACACACCGTCCTCGTCCGATCCACAACTCGCACCCCATCATTGTTGTAGTCCACAGGGAACCCGAAATGTTCCCACAGCTGATTTAAAAGAAGCAGGTGGGTCTTCTAGCTCCTGTGTGTTGTGTGAACTCGCCATAGCTACTAACTTTTCTTCTTCGTGTATTGTGTTCATTTTGTTGTGTTTTGTTCTTGTTCTTCATTTGTTATTTACGGGCGGCTGGCTTTTAGGCGCAATACCGCCCCCTGGATTATATATAGTGTAATACTGCCCTGAGTGACAGACTTTTTTCCAAGTCGTAAAAAAAGGCGCATTCGCCGTGTGACTGCATGTGCCGAACCGTGACGTCCGAACCGTGAACCGATACCGTTACACCCCTAATATATATATATATATATATATATTACTGCATCATGGACCTCATCATGCTGTAGTAATATATATCTATGTATATCGGCCGATAATGATTGGCGGCCAATCGATCGGAGCATCCCTAATTATTACCGGACATTTTGACCGGCAGGTTTTGAATTTACCGGTTTTTAATAAATGTTACCAGCTAAAAAACGGTAATTACCGGCTAACGGAATCCCTGATATATATATATATATATATATATATATATATATATTAGGGCCGGGACTCGATTAAAAAAATTAATCTAATTAATTAGAGTCTTTGTAATTAATTAATCGAAATTAATCGCATTTTTAATCACATATAAATATTTGACCTAAGAACAGTGAGAAGCAATTTTTTTCACATGGATTTTAGTATACCATTAGGCGCATTCACACCGCAGTACTTTTCCCACAAAGGTTCATGAGAATTTAGTTCATGAGAACTCTTTGAACCTGGGGGTGGATTAGTCAAATTAAGCCGCTGACGTCACTTCTTCTTCTTCTGCTTTGGGTTTACTGGCAGGCCGCAAACCACTTCACGGCGTATACTGCCACCCGGAGTCCCCGGCCGGAAGTCCCCGGAGTTGGGGACTGGCTTCATTAGAAGCTGCTGGGAGTCCCAGCAGCCTTCCGAGTAAATCGCCAGAACGCCGACACCTCCTCATCTCCACCGCTCCCATGTTTTATTTTGTGTTGCCATAAGTTAGTCTCTCTGCGTTTCTGCGCTGGGCTAATGCTAATAATGCTAATACGAGGATAATAAAATGGCGGCTTCACAAAACTTTTTGGGAGTTTTACGGGGCGTGGTTTGCAATCCGCCCAGCCAATCAGAAATACAGCTCTTTTCTCACAAGAGAGCCGTACGAAAGTCCCTGCTCTCTAGCAGCTCTCTGCTCTCTAGCAGGGACTTTCGTGGGGGTAAAAAGGTTCTCATGAACTAATTTTAGTACCGGCTCTTTTTGGTGTGAACGCGATAAAAGAGGCTAACGTCCACGCTAGCTTCCACGCTAGCTGCTATATGTTTTGCATTGAGGTGATACTTGAGGCTTGATGTGCTGCGGTGATATGCGAATTCCTTTTTGCATAATTTGCACACAACCGTGCTCTTATCGACGCTTCCATCCGTCCGTTTTTTAAAACATTTCCCACTGTTGTTCACTGTGGTTTGTTGTTGTCTGAAGTCATGAACATTAGTTGGTGCTCCAGTATAATCGGTACGCCTGAAACTCATCCAGTGAGAAACGTTCCGCGGTGCAAAAATAAGTGCGATTAAAATGCGTTAATTTTTTTAACGCGTTAATTGTTGTGTAATTAATTAATCTTAATTAACGCGTTAAAGTCCCGTCCCTAATATATATATATATATGCTGGCAGTCAAAGTATTTTAATCAAAGTTTTTGAATTAATTGCGTTAAAATATTTAACGCATTTAACGCATGTGCAGAATGGCCCGCCCCATACGTGCCACCAGTGGCAGCGCCAGGGTATGGCTGGGGTAGGCTACACCCATACCAAGAAATGGCTTAGCCCCACCATGAACAATGATGTTAAAAGAAGCAAAATAAAATAAAGTCTGCCAACTTTAACTCGCGCGGAGTAAATTGCACAGACAGCAGTTAGTAAGATTGATTTCAGTAGCTACGGTTTTGAAAACTTTTGTCACGTAGTGATCGTCTTCTCAATAGAACATCTTTGATAACGGCGTGGTGTTGTTGCAGGAAGTCCCGACGGAGAATACTTTTGCTGTAGTACAGGGGTGCACATAACTGGTACGCAGGTTATGTGCGTAATCTGAAATGCATACCGTCACTTGTGTCACAAAGCGCATTTGCGTATCGACGTACTTGTGAAGCTTTTCCAGAAGGCGGTTAGATCACCGGACGACAGAGTCGGTCTCCGTGTGCACAGACAGGGCTGCTGTTAACGTCGGTCTGTACAACGGAATTGTGCCAAAACTACGCCAACCGGCTGCGGAGGGAGACTCCCCTCCTTCACTGGAGAACTGCGCTAAAACAGCTGATCACAACGTTCACACTCTATGGTCACGAAGTACTCCACTAGCCGCCCCCCCCCCCTCTGTCGACTTTCCTGAAGTACTCCCCCGTTGATAGAAATCAACACGTAATGAATTAAGACCCCACGGTTTGATGATTGATAGGTGTGTGGGTTGTCTTTCATTTTGACACGCAGAAAAATGTTATAATAAACATAGATACTGTATGTTAAATGGATATATCCGCCTTCTTTCATTTATCTTTCCATTCCCACAACAATATACATAAAGAAATGGCATATTTTGGACATAGTTCGAATGGTGATTAATCATGATTAATTATTTTTTAAGCTGTGATTAATCTGATTAAAAATTGTAATCGTTTGACAGCCCTAATTTTTTAATATTAAAACTAAGTCAGAGAACGGTTCTATAAAGTGTATTTATTAAGAACCTGAAGCTGGTTCCCTGTCCACTGAGCGCAGAACCCTCAAAACACTCCAGAGACCTGCAGCTTCATGAGGTCATTTACATAGAACCATCAGAACCGGTTCTCTCTTTAGGGTTCTGTGCTGCACCTGAACCCTGTTCTGTGTCTTTAGGGTTCTCCAACTGAACCCTGTTCTGTGTCTTTAGGGTTCTCCAACTGAACCCTGTTCTTTGTTATTATTACATGTCACTTGTTAAACGCTTTTATCCAAAGCGACTAACATACTCCATACTGTGGACAATCCCCACAGGAGCACAATGACATGCTGACTGCAGGGTTCTGAACCCTTTTCTGTGTCTGCAGGGTTCTGAACCCTTTTCTGTGACTGCAGGGTTCTGAACCCTGTTCTGTCTCTTTACGGTTCTGGACCCTGTTCTCTGTCTTTGTACTGCAGGTTTCTCCAGGGGGCTCTGTCTCACATGATGCCAGTGGACATGGCGATGAGATTCTGTCTGGCCGGTTCTCCTCCTCTGGGTTCCTTCCTGTTAGAACACTGTTCCCCGCTGAGGCCCTGCCTGTCCTCCGGTCTCCACGGCGACGCCTGCACTAACACCACGGTAACCAGGAGGTCAGCGGTCTGTCTGAAAAAGAAGAGGAACGTTGTTTTCGCGGACTCTCGGGGTCTGGCTCTCGCTAACGTCCACGTTTATAACGAGGACGAGGACCAGCTGCTAACGGAGAACCAGGACCTGAAGCTGAGAGACAGGACAGTTGAGAACCAGCATCTGAGAGACAGGACAGGTGAGAACCAGGACCTGAGAGACAGGACAGGTGAGAACCAGGACCTGAGAGACAGGACAGGTGAGAACCAGGACCTGAGAGACAGGACAGGTGAAAACCAGGACCTGAGAGACAGGACAGGTGAGAACCAGGACCTGAGAGACAGGACAGGTGAAAACCAGGACCTGAGAGACAGGACAGGTGAGAACCAGGACCTGTGTTGACATTACATTACATTACATTACGTTACATTACATTTAGCTGACGCTTTTATCCAAAGCGACTTACAATAAGTGCGTTCGACCAGGAAGACACAACCTTGAAGAAAACAGAATCATAAAGTACATCAGGTTTCATAGAGCCAAACATTTCAAGTGCTACTCAACTGGCTTTAGGTAAGCCAGTCCTTTATTAGTATATAAGTGCTTTGTTAATAATTCTATCGCTCGATGTGGAGTCGAAAGAGATGAGTTTTCAGTCTGGAAGGTGTGTAAGCTTTCTGCCGTCCTGATGTCAATGGGGAGCTCATTCCACCATCTTGGAGCCAGGACAGCAAACCCACGTGTTTCTGCTGATGGCAACTTGGGTCCCCTTCGCAGTGCGGGTGCAGCGAGCTGTTTGGCTGATGCAGAGCGGAGTGCACGTGCTGGGGTGTACGGTTTAACCATGTCCTGGATGTAGGAAGGGCCAGATCCATTCGCAGCATGGTAAGCAAGTACCAGTGTCTTGAAGTGGATTCTAGCAGTTACCGGAAGCCAGTGAAGGGAGCGGAGGAGCGGAGTGGTGTGGGAGCATTTGTGACCTGCTCTATCGAAATCAGTCGCATTGACCCGAAGACACATTTTGAGTTGTATACACTGCTGGAAAGAGGATATTCCTAGCTTTCTAATGATATCAGGATTGTTTTTGTACTCCAAATATTAAGCTAAATATGTCACATTATATAATGACTGTCACCGAGTCATCATTTTGAGAAAAAAGCCTTCAAAGTTTTCTCTTCTCTGGAATCCATCGATCTGATTGGTTATTAGCAAATGATCAAAATACTACGGAGGGAAGATATTGTGTGTGTGTGTGTGTGTGTGTGTGTGTGTGTGTGTGTGTGTGTGTGTGTGTGTGTGTGTGTGTGTGTGTGTGTGTGTGGTGTGTGTGTGTGTGGGTGTGTGGGTGTGTGTGTGTGTGTGTGTGTAGTGTGTGTGTGTGTGTGTGTGTGTGTGTGTGTGTGTGTGTGTGTGTGTGTGTGTGTGTGTGTGTGTGTGTGTGTGTGTGTGTGTGTGTGTGTGTGTGTGTGTGTGTGTGTGTGTGTGTGTGTGTGTGTGTGTGTGTGTGTGTGTGTGTGTGTGTGTGTGTGTGTGTGTGTGTAGTGTTTGTTTCCCGGGGAAACCCCTCACGAGAAACACCGGCTGTGTATGCCTGCTGTGACGTCAAGTTACTCCGTTCTCCGCTTGTAATTATGCCGAAGCTTCAAAGTTGTATTTATCATCTGAACAAGTTTAATATTCTGAAAGCCAAGACTTTGTTTAATTGAATTCAGATGAAAACAAACTGTAACGGACCCTGCCGTGTTATCTATGATTACTATACTCTTACATTCATAATGTCAGCCGGAGGGAGGCGCTGCGGAAGAGCAGCTTGCGAGTGAGAGGTGCCTGTCTTCGTCCCTTTACAAGCTTCAAACATGTATTTATCGTGGGATTTTGGAAATAAAAGTTTCATATTCTGAAAGCTAAGACTTTGTTTGTTTAAAATCAAATAAAACACCCGAACCCCGAAAAAATTGTTTTTTACGTAAATCCACGTTTATTTTGAAATGAGCCGTTGCGACTTCCGACTGATTTCGATAGAGCATGTCACATTTAGGAAGGTTGAAGACCAGACGAGCCGCTGCATTCTGGATGAGCTGTAGAGGTCGGATGGCACATGCAGGTAGACCAGCCAGGAGGGAGTTGCAGTAGTCTAGGCGTGAGATGACGAGAGCCTGGACCAGAACCTGCGTGGCTTTCTGAGTCAGCTGTGGACGTATCCTCCTGATGTTGTAAAGCATGTATCTGCAGCAGCGGGTTGTAGCAGCGATGTTTGCAGTGAAGGACAGGTTGTTATCTAGGGTCACACCCAGATTCCTTGCAGTCTGAGTCGGGGAAACAACTGAGGTGCCGATGTTGATTGTTAGGTCAAGAGTGGGACAATCTTTTCCCGGAAGGAAGAGCAGCTCAGTCTTGTCAAGGTTGAGCTTGAGGTGATGAGCAGACATCCACTGAGAGATGTCAGCTAGACAAGCAGAGATGCGTGCGACGACCTGGGTCTCTGAGCGGGGAAAGGACAGAATTAATTGGGTGTCGTCAGCGTAGCGGTGGTATGAAAAACCATGCGGGCTAATGACTGATCCGAGCGAGTTTGTGTACAGGGAGAAGAGGAGGGGACCGAGAACAGAGCCCCGAGGGACCCCTGTAGTTAATTGACAAGGGTCGGACTCCGACCCTCTCCAAGTTACCCTGTAGGTACGGTCTTTCAGGTATGAGGTGAGGAGGGAAAGTGCAGAGCCTGAAACTCCAAGTTTTTGGAGAGTGCGAAGGAGGATCTGATGATTCACCGTGTCGAATGCAGCAGACAGGTCCAACAGGATGATGACAGAGGAGAGGGATGCAGTTTTGGCAGTGTGCAGTTCCTCCGTGACAGCAATGAGAGCAGTTTCTGTGGAGTGACCTGCCTTGAAACCAGACTGGTGCTGATCCAGAAGGTTGTTCTGATTGAGATAACAGGAGAGTTGTTTAAAGACAGCGCGTTCAAGTGATTTAGACAGGAACGGGAGGAGAGAGACAGGCCTGTAGTTTATAACATCTGACGGGTTGAGAGTGGGTTTCTTTAGGAGAGGGTTTACTCTTGCCTCCTTGAGACTGTTTGGAAAGTGACCAGAAGTTAAAGTGTTGAGTCAAAAGGAAATCTAGACTGGCTTCCTCCTGAGTTGCTATTGTGTCTTTTCAGTGGCCCAATGGTTTTACAATGACATGAAACCCTAAGTTATAAAGTTATGAGTTTAACCCTTAATACAGTTACACCTACTCAATAAAGCTCTTAGTATTCTACAAATGTTTAAATCAAAGTTAACCCTAGCAGTCAGTTAGTTCACTTTTAAGGTTTCAGTCAAATGACTTGTCCCAAGTTTCTGCCTGACAGATGCTGTAGCAGTTTTGAGATTTAAAAACACAATTCCAGTCAGATCAACTACAGAGCATTGATACAGAGTACACACACTGAAACAGAGAAGTCTAAAAACACAATGTTACTCACACAATTCTAGAAGTCACCAGTTGTTATCTTGTCAAAATCGAGTTGACATGTTTCTACTTCACTCCATCTTTGTTGTTATTGTTGTTGTTATTGTTGTTGTTGTGAGCAGCCTGTCAGTCATCACTTATCGTAGGGTTTTTATTCTTGTTCCAGAACCACGGTTCTGTTTCTCCTCTAGAATCAGTGAAGTGAATCCTGACTGTTTCCTGTTCCTCTCTCAGCAGACGGTTCTCCGGCTCTGGTTCTGGACTTCACCCCGCCGGTAGCAGACTATCTGGAACTGAGGAACCGTCTGAAGGCCCAGCAGGTGGTTCTGGAGACGTGTTCTCTGCAGGAGCGCCTGCTCTCGGGAACCGTTCAGGTGCAGAACCTCTGCTTCCAGAAGAACGTGTGGGTTCGGATCACCTTCGACTCTTGGCGCTGCTTCCAGGACGTTCCGTGTTCGTACCTGAACCAGGTGTACGGTTCCCCCGACACCAACACCTTCTCCTTCTGCGTCTGCGTACCGGAGGTTCTGCACCCAAAAGACCGGGTCGAGTTCTGCGTCCAGTACCACACTCCGGAGGGAACCTTCTGGGACAACAACCAGGGGAACAACTACCGGCTGGTGGACCCGAGTCCCGGGGAGAACCAGGAGATCCCCGGGCTGCAGATCCAGAACCAGAAACAGCGGGACCAGATTGACCCGTTCGGCAGTCCCAGAACCTCTACGGGGGTCTTCCTCTGGCAGAGCTGTGGCAGCGTGGAGACCAGCGCCCCCTACTGGTGAGAACTGGGTTTATTATCACACCCAACGAGGGCCAGAGGACCCACTGAGAACCCTTTGAGAACCTCTGAGGAACCCACCGCAGATCCTCGCTCTACCACCAGACACTTTAGCACATTAGCTCTTTAGCACATTAGCTCTTTAGCACGTTAGCTCTTTAGCACTTTAGCCGCCCTCACTGAATTACCTTAAGTCTGTCTGAAAGACTTTAAAAGAGTTCCACGTCTCCATCCCCGGTTAGAGACCCGCTGCCCATCAGAACCTGACCCGGTTCATCTGGTTCTCCAAGGAACCCGCTGCCCATCAGAACCTGACCCGGATCATCTGGTTCTCTTCACCAGGGACCAGCAGGGGGTCCAGAGACCTCCAGACCTTCACCAGGGACCAGCAGGGGGTCCAGAGTCCTCCAGACCTTCACCAGGGACGAGCAGGGGCTCCAGAGTCCTCCAGAGACCTCCAGACCTTCACAAAGGACGAGCAGGGGGTCCAGAGTCCTCCAGACCTTCACTAGGGACGAGCAGGGGGTCCAGAGTCCTCCAGAGACCTCCAGACCTTCACCAGGGACCAGAATGGGGTCCAGAGTCCTCAATCAGGGCTTTATTTGACCCAAAGACCCGCGAGGTGTTCAAGGCCTGACGAGTAAATTATCAAAACATAAGAACTGTCTGTCATCACCATCACAGGACAAATCAACCAATCCGATCACAGCTTAGCCCCGCCCATACCTGCAGGAGCTCCTCACTGATTGGTTCAGGGAAACCAGGAAACTGCACTTTAGACCATCATACAGACCATCTTACAGACCTGTGTGTGTGTTACCTGTGTGTGTTACCTGTGTGTGTGTGTGTGTGTGTGTGTGTGTGTGTGTGTGTGTGTGTGTGTGTGTTACCTGTGTGTTACCTGTCTGCACTTTATGAAGTTAGCGTTAAACCAGCCAATCATTAGCCAGCACACCTCCTGCTGTCCCCGCCCACATCTCCCACAATGCCTCAGTGAAACTTTTTGAATGAAGCCATTAGCATTAGCTCCTCAGCTAACTGCCAACTTTAATTAGCTTCAGGTTGTCGTGGTAACTGCTGCTTGCACTTCCTATTAGTTCCTTTTTAAACCCACCAAAATAAAAGCCTGTATTACCCAGAGTGTTGATATTAACAACAATAAAACTGTTGTTGTTGTTGTTGTTGTAAGTGTACCAGAGGCCTGTACTACGAAGCTGATTCAACCTAACCTGGATATGTTTGAGTTAGCCGGTTGGCCTAATCCAAAACATACGCGCTCTCGCTAAACGGTCCTACGACGCGGGTTATCAAGTGGATCGCTCAAGCCAGCCGTGTCCTATCTAGCTAGGTGTTCACATGAGAGGGGTGGTATCTGGAGCATTCGACCAATCACAGACAAGCGCACTGACAGCGCAGCGTCATACTTCCTGAATGAAAAGTCAACTATAATATTAGACATATGAAGAAGTTAAAGTTTAAACATCCATGACTTAAACACTTGATCCAGGATCAAAGCCACAGAGCTGCACCTGCAAGGTGAACACAGCTGGGAACAGAACAAGTGTTTGAATGCGTACATTAACAGCTTTATGATATCACTGCCCGTCTAAGACACCATCTGACTTTCATTACATTTGACTCCAGTGTTTCCTCAACTTAATGTGTTGCTTCAAATAATGCTTCTGCATCCAGTCTGTGACGCTGTGAGTGTTGCACGGCCAGATACGACTCAGCTGACTCAGATCAGGAGATGATACATTATGAAGTGATATGGACTGTACTTAATGTGACTCTGATCCGGTTACTGATGTTGTGGCAGATATTTCAGTAAGCTTTCTTAACGCTAATGTTATAATAGTCAGATTGCTCTGAAGATGGAGCTGATATTCTATTCATGTTCACGTTCACACAGTCGCTGATTGTTGCCGGCCGTCTTTCCGGCAACGGCAGCTTTTCTGTATTTCCTTTCTCCTGTAATATGACTTGATCGCTTTAAACTCTGCACACTGAGCTCTGATTGGTCAGCAGGCGGTGCTTTCACTGAGTTGAGCTCTTAGCCTGCAACCTAACCTGCTCCCGACCAGGTTAGCCGCTCAGCATCAGTTACCATGGAGATCTAGCCCGCTAAGAAGAGAACCAGCTTCGTAGGACCGGAAACCCTGAGTTACCCTGAAGTTAGCCGCTAAGAGAACATCCTGCTTCGTAGTACAGGCCTCTGGCGTGTGACAGGGAGAGACGATGCCTTCAGGTCACGTCAAACTTTTTATAACTAACTTGTACCTTTGAACCGAGGAGTAAATATTTGATGCTTACTTTAAATCATTAGATTTTGTTATCCGACGTGCCCTGAACGCATCATTTCAGCAGCTAGCTTGTTGCTAACACACATGATAAATGCCATTGAATTTTGCTAGCCGGCTGCTAGCATCACCAGCTGTAAACAGGAATTGAATGACTGTTCCTTTTTGTGTGTCCTTTCAAAATAAAAGTCTAATATTTATAGTTTTTAATGTTTGTTAGTTATTCACTCATATTGATGTTTATGTAACACTTTATTGTGTAGGAGCCTCGTTCCCCAAGTCAGCTGCTGCTGAGGACTGTCTCAGATTACACACTTATATAACACACACACACACAGACACACACGCTGACACAGACACACACACACACTGACAGACACACACTGACACACACACTGACCACTGACACACACACACAGACACACACTGACAGACACACACACCGACACACACAGACACACACACACTGACACACATACAGACACACCGACACACACACACACTGACACCTGACACACACAGACACACACACTGACAGACACACACTGACACACACACACTGATCACGGGGACACACACACTGACACACCGACACACACAGACACACACACTGACACACCGACACACTGACACACCGACACACACACAGACAGACACACACACACTGATACACACACCGACACACACACTGACACACACACCGACACACACACAGACACACCGACACACACACACACTGAAACACAGACACACACACTGACACACAGACACACACACACTGAAACACAGACACATACACACTGAAACACAGACACACACACACACTGAAACACAGACACACACACTGAAACACAGACACACACACACTGAAACACAGACACACACACTGACACACAGACTGAAACACACACACACTGACACACACACTGAAACACAGACACACACTGAAACACAGACACACTGAAACACAGACACACTGAAACACAGACACACTGAAACACAGACACACTGACACACAGACTGAAACACAGACACACTGAAACACAGACACACTGACACACAGACTGAAACAGACACACACACTGAAACACAGACACACACACACACTAAACACAGACACACTGACACACAGACTGAAACACAGACACACACACTGAAACACAGACACACACACACTGAAACACAGACACACACACACACACACTGAAACACAGACACACAGACTGAAACACAGACACACACACTGAAACACAGACACACACACACACTGAAACACAGACACACACACACACTGAAACACAGACACACTGACACACAGACTGAAACACAGACACACACACTGAAACACAGACACACACACACTGAAACACAGACACACACACACACTGAAACACAGACACACACACACACTGACACACAGACTGAAACACAGACACACTGACACACAGACTGAAACACAGACACACACACACTGAAACACAGACACACTGACACACAGACTGAAACACAGACACACACACTGAAACACAGACACACTGACACACAGACTGAAACACAGACACACACACTGAAACACAGACACACACACACTGAAACACAGACACACACACACACTGAAACACAGACACACTGACACACAGACTGAAACACAGACACACACACTGAAACACAGACACACACACACACACACTGAAACACAGACACACTGACACACAGACTGAAACACAGACACACACACTGAAACACAGACACACACACTGAAACACACACACACACACTGAAACACAGACACACACACACTGAAACACAGACACACACACACTGAAACACAGACACACTGACACACAGACTGAAACACAGACACACACACTGAAACACAGACACACACATACACACACTGAAACACAGACACACTGACACACAGACTGAAACACAGACACACACACTGAAACACAGACACACACACACTGACACACACACACACACACACTGAAACACAGACACACACACACACTGAAACACAGACACACTGACACACACACAGATTAAAGGGGGTTCAGATGACATTGTGTCGCTGCCGATCAGCTGATATTGGTTTCTACTATTTCTTATTAATCCATAAAGTGGATTCTGGTTATTTAATATTAATCAAAGTTGTTTAATCCTCCAGTAAATGTTTGGTTGTGTGTTGGCGCAGTTTGTCTAGCAGGGGGAGACTCCTCTGACTTTAAAGGATGCTTATTATCAATCGTTTCTATGTTTTCTCGTTAACCTGTTAAGCCCCGAGCCTGACGGGGTCTTTGGGGCTTAACAGGTTAATTAAATCACCTTTCTTTAGTATAAAGAGCTATATATTAGTTTATTGTTATTATTTTCAGTTTCCTCTACGTCAACGGTCCCAGCCCCTTCACAATAAAAGCCCTGAGGAAGAGGGCCACGACTCAAAGAGCCTCGTTAACCTCCTCGCTAATTAATTACGGATGCGTCAGCTTCAATTAGCAACTTCAACGACTCTAACGAGCGTCTGCAGAGAACCACAGCCTGACAGACCGTACTGAGGGACCATAGCCTGAAAGACAACACTGAGGGAACACAGCCTGACAGACAACACTGAGGGACCACAGCCTGAAAGATATCACTGAGGGAACACAGCCTGACAGACCACACTGAGGGAGCCACAGCCTGACAGACTGTACTCAGGGAACACAGCCTGACAGAACACACTGAGCGAACACAGCTCTGATCTGAGGTAACTCACCTGAGTACTCTTTAATACACTCAGTTAATACTCAATGAAACCCTAACTTGAACCCAGCCTCCTGTAACCTTCATGAGTTCACTTTATAGAGTTTAGCTCTAAAACATTTCAGAGTAAGAAAGAGATAATAAACATATCTATCTAAATATACTAAAGGTCCCATGTCATGGCCATTTCTACTGATCATAGTTCCATTGTTGAGGTCGACTAGAATAGATGTACATTGTTCAATGTTCCAAACTCACATTGGTTTCTCACAGCCTCTCTGTGGCGTCTGTGTATTCACTCTCTGTCCTGCACGGCTCGTTGGAGCTCCTTATTTAATTCAGAACAAGAGGAACATGATCACCACACACTCTGTCCTCTGGAGGGCGCTCTGTCCTCACACACACACACTGCTGGGACCAGAGGAGTCCCCGAACACTCTCACACACACACACCCACACTCTCACACACACACACACACTCTGAAGGTCGACG